ATTCCAAACTCTAAAAGAAAAGCTAACATCTGCTCCAATTTTGAAATTTCCAGATTTTTCTAAGCCCTTCTATCTGACAACTGATGCTAGTTCTATTGGCATAGGTGCCGTACTAGCTCAGAAGACTGATGGCAAGTACAACGCAGTTGCATTTGCTAGCCGAGTCCTTACGAAGGCTGAACGTAATTATACAGTAACTGAGCAAGAAGCTTTAGCAATAGTATGGTCTTTAAAGCACTTCCGAGACATTATTTATCAGTACTCTGTTCATGTCTTGACAGACCATGCTCCACTGATACCCTTATACCAGAACAAACAACCTACTGGAAGGTTAGCCAGATGGACCTTGACTATCCAAGAGTTCAATCCCACCGTTCTCAGTAGTAGTACCAGTTCCTAGTAACCAGTTACCAGTAACCAGTGTACCAGTAGATGACTCACTACCAACCGTCTGTGTGAATCACTGAAAAATATTGCAAAAATAATGAGTCAAAGAAACACTGAGTCTACACTGAAAACACAAGGCTTAGAGTACACAAGAAATTCACTATAAATGTCTCACACATGCAAATGTCTTTAAATGCAAGGAAAATGTCTCTAAACAGAAAATTATCACTGAAGTCTGGAGTAGTAGACGGAGTGATGAGTGATGAGGAGAAGGTTGTCCTGTGCGGGTGATGACGCCTCCTACACTCACACTGTTCTCGTAGAAATGCGCTTTCTAGATGAGCTCACATAATTGGCTTTATCGTTGGCGCTCAGCTACAATCTCTTGACCAATTATGTGAGCCAAAACAGTACCAGGACCCGGTACAAGGGTGGAAAAAAGCCACAGGTAGATGAGTGAAGAGTGGGTGAGTGGGTGAAGAGAGCGTGACTCACTTGCTCACTGGCGCGCACTGCCACTCACTACTCACGAAGGTGGCTTAATTAACTAAGCCACTCTATGCCACAGGAATGGTGAAAATCACTCTTAGCAGCATCCAACTGGCGTCCAACTGGGAGCACAAAGCGATATATGAAACAATACTTCAGAGGAACTTGTGTGGCTTACTTCTCTCTCTCAGCTGGGTTGGCTGACTGGCTTAACCCACGAGAATGGCTGACTGGAAGACGTGTAACGATGTACACAGCATGAAGGAGCAGGTGGATGACAGGAGACAGGCTGGATGGTAGGCTGAGGCAGGCTGACTAGCGTTCACTTCCAGTCTGGCTTATTGACTGGCTTAATTGCAAAATCCGGGTCAACCCCTCGGAGATTGAAGCAATTAGCACACGAATTAAGCCAGGAAGCTTGAAAAGCGGCTGCAACAGGCTTGCAGGCTAGAGTGACACAGGGTGGTGAGTGAGGGTAAGCTTCTAGCTGGAGGTGGCTGAGACGGTTCACCTCTGACCTGCCAGCGCCCCACAAATAGTCTTCTAACGTCTGAAATACCCTTAACCCTTTGACTGTCGCGGCCGTATATATACATCTTACGAGGTACCGTGTTTGACGTATATATACTCATAAATTCTAGCGGCTTCAAATCAAGCAGGAGAAAGCTGGTAGGCCCACATGTGAGAGAATGGGTCTGTGTGGTCAGTGTGCACCATATAAAAAAAATCCTGGAGCACGCAGTGCATAATGAGAAAAAAAAAAACTCCGACCGTTTTTTAAATTAAAATGCCGACTTTGTGGTCTATTCTCGTTTTCTTGGTCTCATTTGATAGAATGGAAAACATATTATAGAAATAGAGGTGATTTTGATTGATTTTACTATAAAAGAACCTAGAAATGGAGCTCAAAGTTGGGGAAATGTTTGATTTTTGCCAATGTTCAAAAGTAAACAAATGATGCCATTGTCCAATAAATGTCCAACTAGCCATTCTAATATGCAGTCATGAATGGGTTGATGTTATTTATACAATTATTACAGTATTGAAGTAGTCTGCATAATAGTAAGTCTTCTATTTTTTGTTTGAATAAAAATTCAAAATAGAAAGCAAGAGTAATATTAGAGGGGCCTGGAGACATGACTGATGAGCAAAGAAAATGTTATTTTAGAGCCAGGAATGTCTGCATTGTTCATTCTGGACCTTATTTTGAAATTGTCATATTTTTTAGTTTTCGTGAAATTGGCCAAATTGCAAATTTCTGACCACATTATTAGGTAGTTGAAATCGGTAAATGGGCAGTTTCTTGTACTCAATCGATAGAAAAAATAGAGTTCTAAAGAAATAGCTATGAGTTTGGGCGACTGGAATAATGGAATTAGCTGAAAATAGGGCTCAAAGTGGGCGAAATCGCCGATTTGTAAACAGCGCTGAGGTCGCTAACTTCGCGAGAGCATAATTCCGTCAGTTTTCCATCAAATTTCGTTTTTTTGGTGTCATTACAATCGGGAAAAGATTCTCTATCATTTCATAAGAAAAAATAATTTTTTTTTTTGAAATTTTGCGACACCAAGAGACACCTCAGGATTGGGGGTTGCGACAGTCAAAGGGTTAAATCCACGCCCACACCGCTGTCACCATCTGTCATGTGGGTTTTCGATAACATGGATGGGGTAAGAATACTCACGTAGGCTGGTAGTACGTATAATATAACGGAAAGTATGGGAAAGCACCAACAGCCAACCTGCCTCTCTCTGCTCCCTATCTTCGACTGACCCACCAGTGCCTACAGGGTGAGGGGTGTTTGAAATCCTGCTATGGTCAGCAGCAATATGAATAACAGTGATTCACACAGACAGTTGGTAGTGAGTCATCTACTGGTACACTGGTTACTGGTAACTGGTTACTAGGAACTGGTACTACTACTGAGAGTACTACCAGTGGAACCACCACAGCACTACCAGTGGAGCCACCATCAAAGCACTACAAGTGGAACCACCACAGCACAACAAGTGGAACCACCACAGCATTACCAGTGGAACTACCACAGCACTACCAGTGGAACCACCACAGCACTACCTAAGGAACCACCACAGCATTACCAGTGGAACCATCACAACACTACAAGTGGAACCACCACAGCACTACCATTGGAACCATCACAGCAATACCAGTGGAACCACCACAGCACTACCAGTGGAGCCACCACAGTACTACCAGTGGAACCATCACAGCACTAACAGAGGAACCACCACAGTACTACCAGTGGAACCACCACAGTACAACCAGTGGAACCACCACAGCACTACCAGTGGAACCACCACAGCACTACCAGTGGAACCACCACTGCACTACCAGTGGAACCACCACTGCACTACCAGTGGAACCACCACAATACTACCAGTGGAACCATCACAGCAGTACCTAAGGAGTCAAGAGCAGAGAAGGACTGACAGTCATCCTTCTTCAATGTTTAAAAGGTGGATATCACAAAATGGGAAACATCCCGACAAATGAGGCAAAATGAGGATGGGGGGGGGGGATCAAGGAGTATTAAAATTTAATTCTAGGGAGCTCTGGTGGCCTGGTGGCTAACACTCCCACTTCACACTGCAAGGGCCTGGGTTTGATTCCCAGCCAGAGTAGAAACACTGGGTGTGTTTTTATCCACATGTTGTCTATGTTCCCCATCAGTAAAATGGGTACCTGGGTGTTAGCCGACTGGTGTGGGTCGCATCCTGGGACACTGACCTAATGTGCCCGAAATGCTCAGCACAACAAGGGGCTTTCTAAATAGTAGTATGTCACTGATGTCAGCTAGGCCTGTATACCATGTACATGTACTTGTAGTAAATAATGATATAGTAATAAAAAAAATTATGTATTATAGGAGAGCACTAAACTCATAGGGATTATATGGTACCTGTGGGGAGGGGGGATGATGGAATGCATTCAGTCTCAATTCAGGGAACTGGAGCACAAATCCAATTCCCTAAATCAAGAGCCCCTCACTATCATCAAGGAACCTCCCTTGAGGGGAATCCTAGGGAGGAGGTTCAATTCCTTGGATCAAGAGCCTATTTGCCACAAGAGGCTCCCCTAGAAGGGGTTCATGGTTAAGTTGATAGCTTCCTCAGTTCACACACTGAGGGGCCAGGGATTGTTTCCTGGCAACGTTGAAATGTACGGCATTTTTCTTTAAATTTGCTGCCCCTGTTCACCTAGCGGTAAGTAGGTACCTGAGTGTCAGTCAACTGGCATGGGTCACACACCAGAAGCGAGGATTAAAGGACCCTAATTAAAATAAGACCAACAGTCCTAGAGGACACATACTTTATTTGGTTATCCTGGGTTATTAATAATTCAAACAAAACTACCATCTTCCTCTCTTTCTGTCAATAAATAGATACTTATTGTGGACAACATCCTGGAGAAGAGCCTTAAAAGTCCCCTAGTAGAAATAAGTCCCAGCACTTGGCATTGTTAAGTTGTCCTGGGTTGCTAACTCTGCAGGTTTAACAATACCAATAAAGTTAAGTCTTCTACACCATTATTTCTATTATTTTTTTTTTTTTAGGGGGAAAATTTTTTTTATTGTAAATGTTCCTAGAAGTACTTAAAAGAATTCTTACATAAACACATCATATACCTGGAGTATACCTGGTATACAGGTATACCTTTGAAGATATACCTTTGAAGAGTTTCGAGAGTTTATCTACTCTCTGAGCCCGGCCATGGGCCAGGCTCGTCTGGTGGTATATTCACAAAAAAACACTAAACCCATAAAGGGGTCATATATTATATACCTATAATATATGACCAATATGGCTTCAGTTTATATCTACAGCTGTAGCATTACCAGGGACAAGCAACAACGTTTGTTATAAAAATTACGACCAATAAAACGACATACTAGCATCCATCTACATACAAAACACTGGGGATGATCTACAACTGGCCTAGACACAGTGATACAAGATCCCTTACGTTCATTTTACTCACATATTTCACTAACCTCAATCACCAGTCACAACATTCCAGATTGTGCCTAAATCCCACCATTAACGAACACCTGTGCAAGGCGCAGGTGCAATAAAATCAACCCCTACCACCTCCTCCTCACTCACACTGATAAATATAAGCGTTTCCACAAGGTGGCCTCTCAACAGGTGTAAAATTAGGCGCCGGAAGTTATATTTCCTGACAGAGGCTGGAGAACGGCCTTCCCCCTCACCTCCCAGGTCGTCTGCCCACCCGCTGTAAACAATAGACGACATAAAGCTGCAACACACTTGCACTTAGCTCCCAGGAATCGATTCAACTTAATCACGATCCCCTTTTTATCAACGTTAAGATTATTCTTACTCAGAGTTCGATGCTACTTTAATGTGTGTCGAGGAAAACATCGCCTAGTTCAAAACCGTAAACAAATAAGGTGCGTACGATAATTGTAAGCAGAGAACTCCGCCACTCTCACAAATTAAAGTACTACCTGAGTTTATTGTCAACTTCACATTCTTATTTATACTCCTTCTTATAAGAACCATAAATATGAGTAATTGTAATGATAATAATAATTGTAATAATAATAATAATAACTAATAATAATAGTATAATAATAATAATAATAAATAATGATTATGTAAATAATAATAATTGCATTAATAATAATTGTCGCTGCTAGCACTACTACTATTTCTGCTGCAGTTACTATCACTACTATCACTACTACTTCTGTTGTAACTATTACCATTACTACTACTACTGCTGTAACTATTACTATCACTACTACTACTACTGCTGTAACTATTACTATCACTACTACTACTGCTGTAACTATTACTATCACTACTACTACTACTGCTGTAACTATTACTATCACTACTACTACTACTGTTGTAACTATTACTATCACTACTACTACTACTGTTGTAACTATTACTATCACTACTACTACTACTGCTGAAACTATTACTATCACTACTACTACTACTGTTGTAACTATTACTATCACTACTACTACTACTGTTGTAACTATTACTATCACTACTACTACTACTGCTGAAACTATTACTATCACTACTACTACTACTGTTGTAACTATTACTATCACTACTACTACTACTGTTGTAACTATTACTATCACTACTACTACTACTGCTGAAACTATTACTATCACTACTACTACTACTGTTGTAACTATTACTATCACTACTACTACTGCTGTAACTATTACTATCACTACTACTACTACTGTTGTAACTATTACTATCACTACTACTACTACTGCTGAAACTATTACTATCACTACTACTACTACTGCTGAAACTATTACTATCACTACTACTACTGCTGTAACTATTACTATCACTACTACTACTACTGTTGTAACTATTACTATCACTACTACTACTGCTGTAACTATTACTATCACTACTACTACTGCTGAAACTATTACTATCACTACTACTACTACTGTTGTAACTATTACTATCACTACTACTACTGCTGTAACTATTACTATCACTACTACTACTACTGCTGAAACTATTACTATCACTACTACTACTACTGCTGAAACTATTACTATCACTACTACTACTGCTGTAACTATTACTATCACTACTACTACTACTGTTGTAACTATTACTATCACTACTACTACTGCTGTAACTATTACTATCACTACTACTACTGCTGAAACTATTACTATCACTACTACTACTACTGTTGTAACTATTACTATCACTACTACTACTGCTGTAACTATTACTATCACTACTACTACTACTGCTGTAACTATTACTATCACTACTACTACTGCTGTAACTATTACTATCACTACTACTACTAGTGCTGTAACTATTACTATCACTACTACTGCTGTAACTATTACTATCACTACTACTACTACTGCTGTAACTATTACTATCACTACTACTACTGCTGTAACTATTACTATCACTACTACTAATTCTGTAACTATTACTATCACTACTACTACTGCTGAAACTATTACTATCACTACTACTACTGCTGAAACTATTACTATCACTACTACTACTGCTGTAACTATTATTATTACCTGGAGTTTACCTGGAGAGAGTTCCGGGGGTCAACGCCCCCGCGGCCCGGTCTGTGACCAGGCCTCCTGGTGGATCAGAGCCTGATCAACCAGGCTGTTGCTGCTGGCTGCACGCAAACCAACGTACGAGCCACAGCCCGGCTGATCCGGAACTGACTTTAGGTGCTTGTCCAGTGCCAGCTTGAAGACTGTCAGGGGTCTGTTGGTAATCTCCCTTATGTGTGCTGGGAGGCAGTTGAACAGTCTCGGGCCCCTGACACTTATTGTATGGTCTCTTAACGTGTTAGTGACACCCCTGCTTTTCATTGGGGGGATGTTGCATCGTCTGCCAAGTCTTTTGCTTTCGTAGTGAGTGATTTTCGTGTGCAAGTTCGGTACTAGTCCCTCTAGGATTTTCCAGGTGTATATAATCATGTATCTCTCCCGCCTGCGTTCCAGGGAATACAGGTTTAGGAACCTCAATAAATAAATAAATAACTAAAATAACAAAAAGGCACAATACCGTGACTGGAACGATACACAAATAACCCGCACATAAAAGAGAGAAGCTTACGACGACGTTTCGGTCCGACTTGGACCATTGACAAAGTCACACTAACAGAGGTGGAGCAGGACGGCTATATATAGGCAGGAAGAGGTGGAGGTAGTAGTAGTAGTAGTAGTAGTAGTAGTAGTAGTAGTACTGCTGTAACTATTACTATCAATACTACTTCTACTGTAACTATTACTATCACTACTACTACTGCTGTAACTATTACTATCAATACTACTTCTACTGTAACTATTACTATCACTACTACTACTGCTGTAACTATTACTATCACTACTACTACTGCTGTAACTATTACTATCACTACTACTACTGCTGAAACTATTACTATCACTACTACTACTGCTGTAACTATTACTATCACTACTACTACTGCTGAAACTATTACTATCACTACTACTTCTGCTGTAACTATTACTATCACTACTACTTCTGCTGTAACTATTACCATTACTACTACTACTGCTGTAACTATTACTATCACTACTACTACTGCTGTAACTAATACTATCACTACTACTACTGCTGTAACTATTACTATCACTACTACTTCTGTTGTAACTATTACTATCACTACTACTACTGCTGTAACTATTACTATCACTACTACTACTGCTGTAACTATTACTATCACTACTACTACTGCTGTAACTATTACTATCACTACTACTACTGCTGAAACTATTACTATCACTACTACTACTACTGTAACTATTACTATCACTACTACTACTGCTGAAACTATTACTATCACTACTACTACTGCTGTAACTATTACTATCACTACTACTACTGCTGTAACTAATACTATCACTACTACTACTGCTGTAACTATTATTGTCACTACTACTACTGCTGTAAGTATTACTATCACTACTACTACTGCTGTGACTACTACTACTACTATCACTACTACCTCTGATGTAACTAATACTATCACTACTACTACTGTTGAAACTAATACTATCACTTCTATAACTACTGTAACTAATACTATCACTACTACTACTATTGTAGCTAATACTATCACTACTACTACTGCTGTAACTATTGCTATACTTTTACTGTTGTAACTAAGACAGGTAAACATGCACCAACAGGGAATACAGTCACAGAAACCCAAGGCAAACGGAAACCAAGCCTGTGCACATACACAAATAACCCGCACATAAAAGAGAGAAGCTTACGACGACGTTTCGGTCCGACTTGGACCATTGACAAAGTCACACTGTGTGACTTTGTCAATGGTCCAAGTCGGACCGAAACGTCGTCGTAAGCTTCTCTCTTTTATGTGCGGGTTATTTGTGTATTGTTCCAGTCACGGTATTGTGCCTTTTTGTTATTTATCTGCGCACATACTATGCACTTGGTATCTGCAGACATGGGAAATCTGGAAAAACAGATGGGACGTGCAACTATGACCACCCTAGAAAATGCCGTGCCCATATGACAACAGGAAAATGCAAACTCCCTTCCTGTAAGCTTTTTCACCCTGAAATGTGTACCTCTTCAGTACAGGAAAGACTGTGCTATAACTTAAATTGCCAGACACACCATCTAAAGGGGACAAAAAGATACAAAACATCCAGGCCATGGAAAAACCTGGGTAGCCACAGCCACTCAAGAGGGAGAGGTTTTTTAGTGCCAGGAAGGAAAAAAACTGGCAGGAAATGGCAGAAATTGTACACCAAATCCAGTCATTCCTGGAGTGGAACCACAGTCGATGGCCTCCACTCCAAACCAACAGATACAGATACTAATGCCGGAAAAAAAATCCCCCCCCCCAGTACCAACAATACCACCAGTCCGATGACATTCTTCTTTGCAAATATACAGGGTCTAAAGCCAGCAACAAACAACAAAATACCTTTCATCCGTGGACTGCTTGCAGAGGCAAAGGCAATGTTCGCTGCTTTCACTGAGACCCACATAAAGGATCACTTGGACAACGAAATATGGATCCCAGGTTACAACCTATACAGATGTGACAGAGTGAACAGGCAAAAGGATGGGGGGGGAGGGGCTTGGCCTGTACATTGCAGACCTGGAGTTTACCTGGAGAGAATTCCGGGGGGTCAACACCCCCGCGGCCCGGTCTGTGACCAGGCCCCCTGGTGCATCAGAGCCTGATCAACCAGGCTGTTGCTACTGGCTGCACGCAAACCAACGTACGAGCCACAGCCCGGCTGGTCAGGAACCGACTTGAGGTGCTTGTCCAGTGCCAGCTTGAAGACTGCCAGGGGTCTGTTGGTAATCCCCCTTATGTATGCTGGGAGGCAGTTGAACAGTCTCGGGCCCCTGACACTTATTGTATGGTCTCTTAACGTGCTAGTGACACCCCTGCTTTTCATTGAACATAAGAACATAAGAACATAAGAACGAAGGAACACTGCAGAAGGCCTACTGGCCCATGCGAGGCAGGTCCAAGTCTCCTACCGGCTTAAGCCAATGCACCCAACCTAGTCAGGTCAGGTCACATTGACTTAAGGGAGGAACACGGCAACCGACCTGTTAGCACAAGCTATCAGGTCTAACTCACACCCACCCACATCTACTCATGTATTTATCCAACCTATTTTTAAAGCTACACAACGTACTGGCCTCTATAACGGTAC